ACAAAACAAAACAAAACAAAAAGCGAAACAAAACGAAACAAAGACGAAACATAAAAATCACCCACCTTGGCTTCCTCAATGCTCAAATTCCTGGAAAACCACAACCCCACCACTCCCTCCCCACCCTCACCCACCCCCTCTTCCTTTAACCCTATCCGTACGTCATGTTTCACTATCGTATCCATACTCTGTGCCACCACTTTCCAAAGAGGAAATTCACTCTTTAATCCGATCCGTACGCTGTGCATAGCAGTCTGTCAAAATGATGTTTTGAGAAATACTGAAAGTTTCAAAGAGATCTTCACACAAGAAGTATTCTAAAAGTGTGGAGAATACAACCTCGGGGATACAAAATGACCCCAGGGCGTACGGATTGGGTTTAAAGCCACCCTCCGAAACATTGTTCAGCTGTATTTTCAAAGTGTGCACACACGCCCAGTTTCGCTCCATTCAACAAACACACCGGTACTCAAAACTTTGAGACTGTCTCTTTTTATGTCTAGTTTGAAATTGCACACCACAACAACTACCCAGTGGCGTCGGTGGCCTAAATAGGGAGTCAAAAATGAGTGGCGAAACTTATTGTCAATTAATATCTCCTTCACTACAAGCGGAAATGGAAAAGGTGGGGACATCATGGAATCGGATAGAAAAGGAAGCACAGGACAGGCTTCGCTAGAGAAATGTTGTTGATGGCCTATGCTCCACTAGCCGGGAGTTAAAAGGGCGAGAGAGAGAGAGAGAGAGAGAGAGAGAGAGAGAGAGAGAGAGAGAGAGAGAGAGAGGTGTCCTTCACTATCGAACATAGATTGCCCAACTTTTGCGCAATGACTTATATCAATTTGTCTCACGTAAATAGTTTTTTCAAACTCCTTCATACTGTATTCTAGAAAATTCCTTAATAATAAACACTAATATATAAAAAGCCCCAGGGGGAGGTAGTGTAGTATCACTCTATGAAGATCAGTCATGACGTCGTATGTTCGTCTATTTGAAGAGATAAAAAGATTCACAAAAATGCTGTACCCAAACCCTCAAGACAAGATAAAACGATAACAACATGTTTATGAAAGTTAAAAGTTTAACGGCCATATCAACACTGTTAGGTTATTTCTTTAGAGGCTAAAAACACGTTTGAATTATTACACGTTTACTTTTTGTGCAAGTTTTTAAACTTTACAAACAGCCTTCGAGAGATTTTCTCAGTTGTCTCACCATCTTACAGCAGATGGCCTAATTTGTATTATTTCGCCTACGTAGAAAAGGACTTTTTTCTTTAAAAAAAAACCTAAGTATTTTATGGTCTCATTTGTATTATTTCGCGAACGAGGCGGACTTTTTTTTCCCTCAACCAGCGTATTTCATGCCCAAATTTGTATTGTTTCGCGTACGCAGAGAAGGACTTTTTTCTTTCAAAAAGAAACCCCAGCGTATTTTACCGCCAAAGTTGTACTATTTCTTGTGGGTAGCGGAGAAACTTTTTCTCTAAAAAAACACCGTATTTTGTGGCCATTTTATGTGTACTATTTCACGTGAATGTAGTGTAGGACCTCTTTTCTTAAATGAAACCTATTTTCATTTGTGTGGCATTCTTTGCTTCTTTTGGCCATATCCTATTCGGACTTTTCGAGTGTTTTTGCAGCTCAAAAAGTTAAACGCTTTTCAACCTTAACCCAAACCCTACGTTTACCCCCAAGATAGTCCTTATATTGTTGTTTCACTTTATTCAAATGAAAACCAAAAACTAAAACCTCAGAGGAAATACACGTTTTAAAAAAACGTGTTAGATTTGAAGGGAGAAAGGAAGGGGCGGGTTGGGGGGAGGGGGGGGAGGTAGATATTGTGAAGCAATAAATAACATACTATAATATTTTTGTAAAAAAGATATTTAACTTTACGAGATCTATACTGCTCAGTAGTTTAGTGTTGCACAATTAACTATGGTGTAGCTAGCTCTAGCGCATTTATTTATCTATTTATCTTTTTTTATTTTGTTTAAATTCATCTCTGTATTTCTTTATTTCTTTATTTGTTTGTTTATTTTTTTATTTTTTATTTCTGCCTAAAACGGTGTAGAGGACAGGCAATTTACTCCTCACGGTGCCGGCTTGCCCATGCCCTAGCCCAGTGTGAACTTTGTACTTCTAAAAATAGCTTACAGCTTGTAGATGATGCCAGATCCCTTTGCCATCTCACCACAGTACTTTTGTAGTAGTCATCGTTGTAGTGTTTTTCGTTATCTCAAAGAGAAACCTTTTAGTGAATGGTACTTTCACCGAGAAAAGCTAGAGGTTATGTTGGTGCTTATTGCTTTATTGAGAGAATAGAAAAAGCATCTAAGATTAAGAAGTAGCGATAGTAAACATTAGACTTACTGTAATAGAAATGCAAGCCAGAAGTAACAGTAGTGAACATTGATAGCTACGCTACTGGCAAAATTAATGAACATTTCCAAAAGAGAACTGTTTGACGTAACAATGGTGAACGTTATTTTATTTTAAATGCAAGAAGTAATATGAATGAACATTTTTTAATTAATAGAGAAATGCCATAAAGAACAGCAGAGAACACAACTTTGATAGAACATTTCTAGAAATAATGATAGTAAACATTACCTTTTTAGATAAATGCTAAGAGGAACATTAGTGAACGTTACTTATAGAGAAGCGCCAGAAGTAACTTCCATTGAGAAATGCTAAAAGTGACAGAAGTGAACATTGATTTATGTAAGAAATACTTAAAGTAACGATAGTGAACATCACTTTAATTGAGAATTACTAAAAGTAACAGTAATGGTCTTTACTTTACTTGGGAAACGGAAATGCTAGAGGTAACGATAGTGGACATTGCATTGTATTATTATGAGAAATACTAGAAGTAACGCTAGTGGACATTGCTTTGTATGAGAAATACTTGAAGTAGAGATAGTTGATATTACTTTTTATAACTTGGAGTAACGATAGTTGACATTACTTTTTAATAAAAAACGCTAGAAGTAACGGTTTACTTGTATCTAACGAACTTGGTTCTGTCCCTTTTTGCAGCTGTTGGTTGTGATTATGAGTTTCTATCTGGTCTGCAAGAAAGACGACAGCGGGTATACGGTTTAAACCCATGGAGGAACCCCTCGAGACAATGAAGAGATCTACAACTTTAGAGATTGAGCGAAATAGACGATAGCTGGAGATTATAGACAGTTCCACTACTTTAGAGAGTGAGGGAAACAGACGATAGCTTATGACAGTGAAGAGATCTACAACTTTCGAGATTGGGCGAAACAGACGATAGTTTGAGACTACAGAGATTTCTACTACTTTAGAGAGACAGTTGAGATTTCGACTGGCACGATATAATGTTCGAAAACGCTTTAGTAGCATTTTAAAATGAGATATGATTGACACTTGGTTAATAACTAATTCTGCAGGATTTATTGGAGGGAAAACACAAAGTCGAACGGCAAAGAATGAAACTATTCAAAGTAGAAAATAGAGGAACAGCTGTATTAGAAATGGAACTGAAACAGAAAAATGTCCAGCCAAAAACAACTTTCATAAAACGAAACAGAAAATGGAAAACTTCCGTAAGCTGCGTATAAAGTTGTAGTCAAACGTAAAACATGGACTTACAGAGGGTATAATATATATATATATATA